TCCACTCCCACCACAAATGGGTCCAGGAGAAGGAGGAATAGAGCTTCTCTTATTCTCCATAGATGGTTTAGGGAGCAAGAATGAACAGCAGGCAGACTGAATCGCTCAGTGTTTTTGATCTAAGATGCTGGAGTAGCTAAATCTCAGTGCTGCCGTTTGTCAGTAAATGCCTGATGTCTGGAAAATGGGTAGGAAAAAACCTGAAAATTGGTTTCTTTCATGGAAAGGCAGTAGAGCTCGTAGAAACAGTGAGCTGAGGTGTGTACTAGGCAGGTAATCCAGAGTGTCTGTGGATTTCTTTTTTCCTTTCTTTGCATATGCTAGCATTTTTTATTTTGAGGTATATAAGGTCTTGTATGGAAATGTGTCAGGAATAGCTATGTACGATGCAGAATGGCTGCGTTTTCCTTGCCCTTCTTGCTTGCTCTCCCTCCCAGTCAGAGACAAAATATTAGCATAGAGGTCTAGTAAATGTGTGTCCATGCACAACAGTTTTCCTTCCAGATAGAGATAAGGATCTTACCAGGATCCTGTCCACCCTTCAGCTTTCAAGAACACACAATCCTCTTCTGAAAAGAAGGGAGGAAAGATCTTGTGAAAATCTAGAGCTACCATGAGAATAGAAGAGAAAAGTAGCAGCAGAAGATAGAAAAAAGTATCCCTTCCTTCCTTATGGGATTCAGAGGTAGTTTGAATCTTAACTGGCCCATGATCCTGCATCAGCTGCAATAGTGGCTGCAGGCACCACATTTCGAAAACTGCCTTTGCAGCAATCAGAGAATGTGTCAGCAGAAATGACCTTTCCTGTCTCTGCTGCCTGCATCCTCTCAGCATTTTTTCATCTGAGTGGTGATAAATGAATAAGAATGGTGGAGGATGTTGATTTAGCGTGGCTTCTCACAGTGAGAGCGCCTCTTTTCCTTCCCACAGCCATCCATGGCAGCAACATACACGGGTGCATTTTGTGGACCTTGGTTTAGTTTATGCTCTGGAGTCTGTGCACATACAAAATGCTGAGCTGAGCCTGGAGCCTTAAGTGTATCTGTGTGGCAGGAAAACTGTTTTCAAGCTAAGTTTAGGCTTGTAACTGTTGTTAAACACTCTTGTCTTTGTAAGCCTCTGAAATAGAGCTGCTTGTCAGCCAGAGAGCCATGAAAACCCTTTATGGCCACCCTGCTCTGTGGGCTTCACTTGGCTGTAGAGGACATGCAAGGGAAATGGTAAATCAGGGGATGGTGTAATCTCTCCTCATCATACTTTACTTGCTTAAATAGTTTTGAGCAGTGCATCTTCCAACTGTTTTTCAGAGAGATAATGTATGAGAAAATAAAAGGCTGTGAAGGTGGCGTCTTTTCTTGCTGCTCTTGTATTGCCAGACCTGAGAGGTTGTTGCAGTGAGTTCTCAAGACCAGAAGAATTACTGCATGGGATAAAGGAATTGCTTTTTGGAGCAGGTGTGCTCCAAAACCTGCATTCACATCTTGCTCTTTCCACTGCCTGCCTTTTTTTGCATTCTTCATGTAAAGCTTCTCCAGACAAATGGTGAGAGATCATTTACTGAAAATACCCATATTCAGGAGTCAGAGCACTGCAAAGCAAAGCTGTGTTCTTTGCCAGTGGGAACAGACATCAGGCGAGGCATGAAAAAACAGCATTGATTGGGGATTTGTTTTGCAATCAGAGTCTTTGATATAAGAAGATGATCTAAGATATGGTTTGGGAGATGGAAGGATGACCGATGCAGTTAACTTTACAGGCTTTTTTTTTTTCTTCCCCTAACAAGGCTTTTTTTTGTGCCTGCCGATAACAGGAGCTTGTCTTGCTTTTGGCTTGCATGAGATTGCTTTGTGAGCTTTTCTGCTCGAAGTACGGTATTTGGTGAGCAGAGGAGTACTAGCGGGTGCTGCATGCTGGTCCTTTTATCATCATTGTTCTGAAAAGAGCCATCAGACTTGTCAAAGCTAATTAAGGAAACAAGTAGATGGCATTGGGAAGGAACTTCAAGCTAGAATGACATGTTTCAGGAGACTCCTCTTGTCCCCTGGTGCTCACTTAATAGGCATTATGAGTATATCCACAGAGCTTGTGTATGTAAATGCACAGTGGTAATGAGCATTTTGGAATTTGTTTGGAAGTACTTAGGTTCTTCTAATTACAGACCCTTTTAAAATGAATAGTATTGTGGCAGATGGATGTTTCTTATTCCCTGGGCCAGGAGTAGGTTTGCCCCGTTGCTGCAGGGGGAGGGAAGCAGGAGGTGTTGTGGGGAGCAGGTCAGGCAACCTGGTGTTGTGGTGTCAGGGCACAGCAAATGGCTCTGGGTAGAAAGCTGGTGTCTGGCTTTGAGAAAGAAACCTGGAGGGTGGATGCTCCAGGGTGAGGGCTGGATTTCAGTAGAAAGCCTCTTGAGAAGGGCTGTGGGGCAGGTCCCTAACATGATCCGAACCAGCACCTAAAAGTACCTTAATTACCACACTTCCCTTCATAGAGTTGTGATGGATAGAGGTATTGGTAAGCATGTACCTCTGTCCATACACCTGGGTCGGCACAACCCCAGGCACAGCTACAGGCTGGGCAGAGAAGAGATTCAAAGCAGCCCTGTGGAGAAGGACTGGGAGGTGGTGATTGATGAGAAACTCAACATGAGCAGGCAGTGTGCACTTGAGCCCAGAAAGCCAACCGTATCCTGGGCTGTATCAAAAGAAGCATGACCAGCAGGTCAAAGGGGGTGGTCCTTCCCCTCTTCTCTGCTCTTGTGAGACCTCACTTGGAGTATTGTGTCCAGTTCTGGTGTCCTCAACATAAAAAGGACATGAGGTGTTGGAGCAAGTCCAGAGGAGGGCCACGAGAATGATAAGAGGACTGGAGCACCTCCTGTATGAAGACAGGCTGAGAAAGTTGGGGTTGTTCAGCCTGGAGAAGAGAAGGCTGCGTGGAGACCTCATAGAAGCCTTCCAGTATCTGAAGGGGGCCTACAAGGATGCTGGGGAGGGACTCTTCATTAGGGGCTGTAGCGGTAGGACAAGGGGTTATGGCTTTAAACTTAAACAGGGGAACTTTAGGTTAGATATAAGGAAGAAGTTCTTCACAGTGAGGGTGGTGAGGCACTGGAATGGGTTGCCCAAGGAAGTTGTGAATGCTCCAACCCTGGAGGTGTTCAAGGCCAGGTTGGACAGAGCCTTGGGTGACATGGTTTAGTGTGTGGTGTCCCTGCTCATGGCAGGGGGGTTGGAACTAGATGATCTTAAGGTCCTTTCAAACCCTAACTATTCTATGATTCTATGTTGTAGGTGAGAGTCATTACTGCTGAACAGCTGAAATGACAGCACTTAGGGCTACTTAGGAAAAGGAAGAAAATTTCTGCTGTGGACTAGAAGAATGTGTGCCCTTCCTATAGATATATTGGGAAAGAATGTTGCTGCACACCATAATGGTTTTTCCTGACATTGTAAAGATTTTCTATTTGTCCTACTGCCACTTTTAAATATGTCCAGATATTTGGAAGATTTGACACCGATAATTACATAGTCACAGGGACTCCGGCCCATTCTGGCATCTTTACCAATAACAGGCAGCACTTTCTTCCTTGTGGGGTCACCCTGAAACTGATGGTAGCGATTAAGGAGCAGACTATTTCTCACTGGAAGTAGAATGATGAAAGCTCTGCCTGTGCATGGCTTTGTTTTGTTGTGTTAGGTTTTTTGGCTGCAATTCACAGTGTGTTGTGAATGGACTCACTATTGATGTGGGGCTCTAGTTAACAAGCAGTGACAATTTCAGTTACCTACACAGTGGGTCATAATGTAGTTGTTTTGACATTTGCACCACTGGCGGAGATTAGCTGAACTCCAGCACATTCATATGTTTGTCATTGCTTCAATGGCTATGTTTTTTGTGAGATCCACAAAAATGTATTAAAGCATCTGTATTTTGTTTGTTCCTTTTTTCTACTTTTTTTTTTCCTAATGTTTTAGCTGTTGATGCCCCAAGGGTGAAAGCAGCAAAAGATTGTGATAAAAGTGTATCAGAACATTAGGGAATTGTGAACATTGGCTGGCTCAGAAGGAATCTATTATTTACAATCTACTGTATCAAATTCAGCTTCCACGAAATTAGAAACTGATTTTTGTCGTTGTCCCTTTTTAATCTAGCCCTTTGGTTAACTTAGAAGAAGCAGCTCCATAAATCACGTGGACATCTATGGATTTTTTTTTTCCCTGCCAGCCATTTCTAGCACTAAATGTTCATCTCCCAGCCAGGACACTAATAATAACATTTCTGGTTTGGGCTTGACTTTCCCTGTGCCAGAAGGAAAACTATCTTTGTAATGTGCCTTGCAAAACACTTTCAGGGAGTAAAATCACAATGCACAGGAAAATTTGACTTGGGGTGCTTGAGTTTTAGCTAGTGAGGTTAAAGAAACTCATTGTGCCTTTGTTTCATGATTATCCAGGCCTGTGGCATGGGATAATGAGGTGAATAATGAATTATTTCTAGAATTGGTTTTGTCACAAGTTCACCATATGTATGTTCATTGTTGTTCTTCTTTTGAAGATGGGGAAACTGAGGTAGACAGTAGCAAGATTGCCTAGCAAAACAGGGTCTGATCAGTCTCTCATGCCACTATTCAGCCAAGTAATACCCTTTTTAATGTGCTTTCTATAAGCATGGGGCTGCTGTGCCCTTGTTTTTCCTTCAATATTAAAACAGATGTCTGGATTTACTGGATCTTGGAACCAGCTTGCTTTGTGTCCACAAGAATGGTCATTGTAGTCTTGATCTTGTAGACAAGGGCTTGGCAGGTTCACCCACCAGCGCCTGGGAGGGTGTCTATCTTATAAACATAAAGGAGACAAGTTGGTAGGAGGTAGGGATCTACATACCAGGTGTTGCAAGTTAGATTTGAACTGGTTTTGCTTCTTCTCACCCTCTCTCTGTCTGATTGCACCCTTTTAGCTAACTTGGCTGCCTTCTTTCTCTCTCTTTTTGTCCCCAACCAGGTCAGTGGCCGGTTTGGATAAAGAACCTGACCTTGTGCACATGGAAGCCCGGACTGCTGATGGACGTGAGTGCCGGCGGCCAGTGCTGAAAAAGTGGTCTTTGGGAGTGGGAATGGAAATTCACTCTACTTATTTTGTCTCCCCATTTACACTTCAATTGATAGGAAAGATGTGGGTCATGGGGTTTGTGTGAGGCATACTCCTATCCTTAGCACCTGCCTAAGGGGGAAAATTCAGAAGCTGTAGGGATTGTGTCTGTGGAGAATCTGGGCAGAAGCACAATCTGTTGGGTTAAAGAGCGTTCTGTTCTGTTCCCTATTTAGCTTTTTCAGTATCATGTATTTTACATAAATCATAAAGAGTTTGGTTACCAACACTGAGCAGTGCAGCCCCCATGCATTTCCAGAGGTGTTCAGAACAGCTATGGTGTACCTGGGAGTTGGAGAAATCGCCTACAATCATATTTCTCCCCTGTCCAGAATGTCCCTATGCCCAGGTACCCTTTGTCTCATAATGGAGGTATTTTTCAATTTTGCTTATGATGTATAAATAGGTGCTCCATACCCAAACATTACAGGCCTTGAAAAGGTGGCTGGATCTGAAGAAATAGAAAAATACAGTTCTTAACCCCTCACTGAAATGAATCCAGCCACATTCGCAGCAGAATGGATTCCTAGGTAATTAACCTCCAGCGAAGAAGACAGTTGGTATTAGAAGTAAGCTGACTTTTTCTATCACTCTCTCCAAAGTGTTTTAGGTATTTCTCACAGGAACTACAACATGGTAATACATCTGTTCCTGGGTTAGAGCCAGCTTTGTTCCAGCTCAGTGCCACCACAACAGTGGGACATGTGTCCCTTTTATGCTACAGGGGCAGTGTTAGAAAAGCAGCATAGGACTGAATTTGTGGAGGATTTCTGGGAGGAAAAGGCCTCATTTTTGTTGGCTGCAAACTTTTCTCTGCTTTAGTCAAGTGCTGCATAGGCCAGATGCTGTGTGAACGAGCTTCTGTCTATCAGGGTGGCTTCTCTGAGGCTGTGGATCTTCTAAAATCATTCGCTGGCCTCCCACTGCTATTTAGTGATGGCAGCTGAATAAATAACCAGGCAATAAAAGCTTGGGGGTGACAGCTGTTTGTTGAATATGTTGAAAAATCAAAACAGGCTAGCAGGTGGGTGGGCAAGGTAGGGAGGCTTCTTCAGTGCTTTTGCTGCTATGTGTGCTGTTGCAGGGATGCTGGGAGAAGTGGCCAAAAGCACATCAAAAAAGCAAGCAAGTAAGAAAGCAAACTGCTGATGGAGTTTATTTTCAAACTAAGTTTAAACTTGCTCACCCAGCTATTTGAATATTGGATATGTCAAGGATGTAGATGCTTTGTTTGAAAGATGTATCCCTAGTTTGCAGACAACTCTTCCTTCAGGTCTTGTTTGCTGTGGGGGGCTATTTGTTCTTGTTTTAGTGTATAAATTCAGCATTTTGAAATTGGCAGTTGATTGTATTGAGGGTTTCACTGGAAGTCAGATATAACCAGTAGTGTCAGCAAGACAGGCCCATTGCAAGCCATTGTCCCAGCAGACAGCAGGCACAGGCAAACAGGCAAGACCTGGCAGGCTGTGCTGGTCCTGCTGGGGGACAGCACCAGAATGACTCCTCTCCCAGCCAAATGCATCACAACACAACTGTGTTGCTCCAATTAGAGTTTCTAACCCTTAAAACGATAGTAGTTTGCGTTACAAAACATTGACTGCCTCAAAGCTATAGCCTCACCTGGTGTGAAATGGTACAGCTCTGTGTACTTAGGAATGGGAGGTTGAACTTCTCTTCTAGTTGGCTCTGTAACCAAAATGGGCTTTCATGCTCTCAGTGAAATGGCTGAGGCATGAACACCTGCTGGAAAATGGGTCCCTGCAGTTATTTCCCCTTGATTAGAAAGTTTCTGATGCAAGTTTTCCTCAGTAGTAGGGAAAATGAAGGGGAGGCTTTTTTCGTGCTTCTTGCGTCAGTCTCCTGTCTCAGTCACTTACTTGATACTGCCATTGCTCAGTTCAGTTCAGGTGCAAGAATCCACACTTTCAATGTCCCTGGCCACTTGAAAAATATATGATTCTTCTAGAGGGAATGTTTGTCTTTCCTCTTCTGTTTTCCTTCATGCTTTTCATTAAAAGCAAAAATATTGTGGGGGAAATGGTATTTAGGATTAGGCTCCTGGACTTGATTCTTCTTTTTCATTTCTTTTTTTCGTTTAGCAGTAATGTGACTCAAGAATATATCTAACACTGATTCAGACACCGGAGCCTGAAATAAGCTCTGTGTCTGGGAACAGGTGGTGGAGCACGACAGAGTCTTGTTCACCCATAAATAAGTCAGGGCTATCAATAAGCTCATGGAGCTGCGAAGTGGGAGTCCTGTTCACCACTTTTGTGTCTGTCCTCCAAGATGTCTTGCCTTATGATTTTGTCTGTACCAGTCATTAGGAATGGTAGGATCTCTGGAAGAACATCTGCCACAGTGTCTAGTCCCCTTAAATATTTGCAAGATGCTGCTAATGCCATTGCCTAGCTGATCTCAAGCTGTTCCTGTCTTTTGTGGTAGATGAAGTTTTTAATATACTTTTTGGCATCTTGGCAGCGCTATTGTAGCAGAATAATAATCTAGGCTTGCATTTTTAAATTATGAAAACATGTTGGAGCCTTGGGCACTGTACCTTCTGCTTGGGTGTAATAGGCAGCAGCAAGGACAGGGTTGGATGCAAGGGAACTGTTAGAAATACACTGACACAAGCACCCGCCAGCACTTCTGGGAAAGATATATTAAATTTTCTGATGTTCACTGGGATAATCTTCTCCCCACTCACAGATACGGTGCAATAAACAGTATTTTAATTAAAGGGAAAAGGGGCACGCACACACACCCCCCTACCCAGAAAGATAAAACAAGGTAACTAATTGCTGGGGAATAATTACAGTCTGTCTACATACATAGATTCTCTTTCCATCTTTCCCTTTGGGGGAAAAATTGCCGAGGCCAGTTAATTTTTTCTCCCTCCCATGGTAACCTTCACTGGTAGTTTATGATTTTAGTCTTGCCTGGCACCAGGACATGACTTAAGGTGAGCCAGTCTGCCAATGAACTTGTTTCCATCAGCCGCCTTTCTCCCTGTTAGCTATGCTGGCCAGCCATGCCTGGTTCTAGCTGCCTTGTTAATGATGCCAGGAAGGAGTAGGCTTGCTGTCTTGTGTCTCTGTAAGTCACAGTAACCTGCATATAGGTCTGCCCTTTGCATCCTTCCGCACAGTGACAGGTTTCACTGTTTCAGTGCCTTCCTTCAGGGACCCACGTCTTTGGGTGTTATCCACCAGAGAGAGCCTCTTGTGTGCTCCTGCTTCCTGCCAAAGCTGTCATGACTGGTGGGCAAAGAAGAGGCTTAGTACATCGGCTTATTTCACCAGTTTGTCAGTGCAAATTTCAAGAAACTGTTTCAGTTTCATCGCTTCTAAAAAGGGTAGAAATACAATCCAAATTCTCAAGATGGGACACTACGTTAAGTTGGCAATGGGGAGGTGTTTCTTGCTCCTCGACTGCAAAATGGCTGCACATCTGAGAAAGCTGTTCCTTATCCTAAGTGAAATTAGTTGGTGGGAAGGGCTTGTGTGCAGTTATGGATGCTGTGATTTGGGCTGTAGGAAACCCTCCAGGCTGCTTGATGTCCATATTGCCTCATCCACAGATGGGCTGAGAAAGTAGCTGGATGTTGGGTTATAAGCATGGGAAGTTTTTGAGGCTGTCTAAGAAACACAGAGCTCTTCTTAACTCCTTTTGCAATGGAACATAATTAAACAAAGAAACAAGCAAACTTAAAACCCAACCAAACTAAAACCTCCAACACGTAAACCATCTAATCTGGTGGGGTGTGGGACAATATATAAATTGGAAATAATCCCCATGTAGAAGCCAACCTCCCTTAAGGCATACACCTACCACTTAAAGGTAAGCAAGGCTTTAAAGGCATAGGTTGGGCACATGCCACCTGCTCCTCTGGGCAGCTGTCCTTTTAACTTGTGGCTGTGCAAATCAGGGCTGAAAAATTAACTCCTTTCAGAGAAGAGGGAGATAACAGCTTCTCTCTTAAACCAACATTTACATTGAGGAGCCCTGTAGTCCCTACATAGGGTAGGATGTGCTCTGTGAATGGGATGATGGCTCATGAAGAGGTCATACCCTTCAAGAACCTTGAGCAGTCTCTTGGGGTTGTTTCTTGCTTTAAGTCACACACAGATGTGAATATATTTTTTACCCGAGTTTTGGACATATTTTAAAGGGAATTAGTTTTCATTTTCTGTGGGGCATCGAGGAAAAAAAGCAAAAGTTGAACTTATTTTGGTGTCCAAAGGCAGGCAGGTTTGAAGATAGGTATTTTGTGTCTGTGGGTTGAGTTTTTTCATAGCCTTGTGTTGTAAAATAGGAGAAAATAAGTAAACAAGAGACTGAATGGGGAATGGATAGTGAGCTACCCCCCTTCTCCGTCACCAGCTTCCCGTGAATATTAACCAGGTGCCATTCTTGGAGTATATTTGATTGCTGGTGTAACACACTCAAAATGACACATTTCCCAATAGGCAGGCAGCTAGTTGTCATGTCAACACTTGTGATTTATCTGCATTTATTTGTGACAGGTTTTTATTCCTCTTTCCATTCTGTCACTCCGCAGCAGCAAATTATCCCCTTTTGGGAGGGATAAGAATATCCAGGCGACTGTGTGGGAGAACATACCAGAGGGAATGAGCTGCTAAAAATATGGTTCCTGACCTCTCCTTGTTCTGCCTAATTTTAGCGCTACCACATGGAACAAGTTAAGGCTGCTGAGCTCTTTGGATAGCATGGCAATATGTAAGACCCTCCTGTTTTCCGAGAAGTTGCTTTTATCCACCTCAAAGATGTCTTAGATTCCTTTCTGAGGAGGTAAATAGCAGCTCTGGACCAAATGTGTATGTGTCAGTTGAAGAAGAACCTTAATTTACCCCATCTGAGAGTCTGACCTCCCTACTGCTGCTGGTATCTTATGCTGGGAGAAAGTAAACTCCAGTACTCTAGTTATTTGGCACTGTCTCTAGGTCAGATATTTTTCACCATTGTCCTGGGTTCAGCTACAGCAGTCGTTTTTTCTCCTTCTCAGTAGCTGGTGCAGTGCTGTGTTTTTGACTTTCAGTCTGGGAACAACGCTGATAACACCGATGGTTTTAGTTGTTGCTCAGTAATGTTTACTCTGACCAAGGACTTTCTCAGTCTCATGCTCTGCCAGGGAGGAGGGGAAGCCGGGAGGAAGCAGAGACAGGACACCTGACCCAAACTGCCCAAAGGGCTATTCCATACCACAGCACATCATGCCCAGTATAGAAACTGGGGGGAGTTACCTGGAAGGCCCAGATCGCTGCTCGGGTCAGGCTGGGTATTGGTCTGCGGGTGGTGAGTGGTTGTGTTCTCTCCCCTTGTTATTCCTCTTACCATTATTATTGGTAGCAGTAGTGGTTTATATTATACCTTAGTTACTGGAGTGCTGTTATCTCAACCCATGGGAGTTACATTCCTCTGATTCTCCTCCCCATCACTCCGGGAGCAGGGGGAGGAAAAAGGTGGGAGAGAAAGTGAGCGAGCGGCTGCGTGGTTCTGAATTACTGGCTGGGCTTAAACCACGACAACCATACACTTTAATTACCTCCAGGTACTCTGAGCTGGCACCAGCAACAGTTTCTGCTGCTTTAGCATCATCAGTAGGACTGTTTTCATTACTGTACCAGACCTATGCAACTGCTCTGCATCAGCCACATAGCCCTTATTAACCTCAAATTCTCAGTGCCTCAACCCAGAAGCCCATCTGCATCCTTTACACGTGGAGCTTTGGTCCTGCAGTTGGGCGTGAACCTTTATTAGATTGAAGCTTGGTTGTAGTTTGTGACTTTTTAGACAATATATTATAAAAAGTTACTGTTGTTGTTATCAGTGCCTCTGACTTGCATTCTTTTTGCATTCTTAAGAGTCTGTTGGTGGGATGAGGCTTTGGAAGGGGAAACTGACAGTTTGTGAATCTTGACTTCAAATCAAGAAAGGCAGTTAGCTGAGTGTCAGAGGATTTCAGTTGTGCCCCCAGTGTTTTCCACGGAACCACATTTTGCCATCACTGGAAAGGCACAGACCAAGGACAATAACAGGTTTTATGGGATGGAGAATCCTGTAAGCAGCTTTGCTAGGCTAGTTACCGTCCTTCTGAAGTTCCCTTTTATCCTTTTGGGCTCCGTTTGACAGAATCCTTGTTAAAAGATGCAGTTGTGAACAAAAATCACTGCACTAGGCTCACCCCAGCCCTTATAAACTTACGGTTTTCTTCATTGATGGTCTGTCCTCACCCTTTGTAGAAAAGAGAACAAATGCGTGAATCTAAGAAGCCTGTAGAAGTACCACAGTGTAAAAGATATGACCCTTTTATCACTGCAACTGTCATCTTAGTTGTATTTTCATTTTCTCTCTAATTTGCAGTTTTTTAGAAAGGCAGTTGAAAGGCAGAGATGGCATATTTAGATTACATACACCCAGAGACATAGTGCCTTGGTTGTTCTGTTTCATGAGATCCTTTCTTAGCCTAAGTGAAATAATGCTTAATCCCCTGCCAACTTACTGGAGGCAAGCACGTCTCTTCTTGCTGCTCCAAGCAACTTTCTGTATGTCTGCCTTTGCCTTACTTCTTCCTCATGCTCTTCTCCCAGTCCTGTTCCTCTCTCAAGCAACGCCAAGGCCTGACAAGGCATCCCATTAGTGTGATGGTCTTATCTTCTCTCTAGACAGAAGTGTTTGATGCCACTTGCAGTGCATATAACTACCGTTGTGACTCTTCAGCTAGTCATGCTGTTTCATGTCCATGGTGTTTTCATACCTAGCCTGTGTTGGCTCTAAAGACTTAATTTTGGGAGATGCTTGTCATTTTCACAGCAAAGTAAGTTAAAATCATGCTGGTTTCTTTTTTTGTCTCCTTGTATGTTACAACCACAATTAAAACCATCAAGGCTATGGTACTTCAGGGGGAGGATGTGGATATAGTTCCCAGCAGGGTAGCAGAATTGATAAATTCTAGCTGGGTGGCTTTTGAAATCTTCTTCTCCATATGGTCTCATCATCAATTTTCTGATGCATTTATGATTTGTATCCTCCATTTACGGTTTGAACTCCAATACTGTGAGGGCTGTTTGCACAATAGGGAAGGGAATGATGGGTGTGGAAGTGTGTTGAATTCCTGACTCCAGTGAGCAGTTACATTTTTAAAGGCTGGAGGTAGATCATGCAGTAGCATCTATCTAGTTGGAGCTGAGGTTAAAACTTCCCCTCAGAGACCTTTTTTTAAGCTGCTGATGACATTTGCAGACAACAGGCTCCTACCTGGGCATTTCTCATGTGTACATATTCTCCTGTTGCAGACACACACTATTTGACCTGTCGGATCCAAGAGTGTTCAGAGACCAAAAGGAGTGGGCCATTCTCACGCTCCATTGACATCAGCTCCCTTGTGGTTCAGGATGAATATATCTTCATCCAGGTATGTTGGTTTGGTACAAATGTGACATGAATTCTGCCTGTGTGAGGTACTTGTTCTGTGCAAAAGAGGTGTATTTTTAGGATTGCAAGTCATGAGCTAGGAGTCTATACCTGCCTGCTATAGTTTCGCAATGCAATCTGGGACAAAACAGTTGATTTCTCTGCTCATCACTTGTGTCCTGGTGAATCTGATATATTTTGTAAGTTCAATCACCAATAATCATAATGGTCCAGGAGGTTCGCAGAAGCTCTAATTTGCTGTCGTTGGGGCTACTTGGAAATTACAAAGAAGCTAGTGCTGAAGTGCAGAGAAGAGAGCACAACATAGGAAAGGTGTGAGTGATCATTTTAACAAACAGAGAAGTTTATGCTGATTTGACAGTCAAATAATGTTAATGGAGCAAACAAAGATTTGAACTAGGAGGTAAAATAGCAGAGAGATTGGAAAAAGATGTTATGGGGCAACTTCAGAATGGAAGATGGTTGTTTGTCAGCTAGTTGATGATTTTGGAGATGAGGAGAAAGTGACAGAAATTGAATGAGAAACTAATTGGTTTTGAGATTTTCTGAGAACACGTGGGCTGGATGTGGAACAAGGCCGTCTCCCCCCATTTCATACCTGGGGAAGCACGAGAATGAATAATGCAGTACAGAAGAACACTTCCTGAACACGTGCCATTTAGGTGAAAACTGGGAGCCAGGTAGCAGAAAGTTCAGGAGACACAGAGATTACAGACATGATGATGTTAACAGCTTGTCACCAATGCTGAAGAGAGAGAATGAGACGAAATGGAGTTTGGATACAGGTGGTACAGAAAACATTTGCTTCCCTTTTTGGGAAATGCTGGGTTACATTAAGCTCCTATTTTACTTCCTTGATGGAATATTTTTCATTAATGTCTCCCAATTATAAAAAAAGTTCTGCTCTGTTTATTGTGAAATTTTCTTAGATATTGGAGTTTACATGGGAAGGCTGATAATTCTGTGCTGGGATTAGATGGAGGACTGGGTCTATATGACCTGGAAACACTACACTACAAAAACTGCATGCACTTGAATAACACTGGAAGGCTTCTCCCACATGTAGGGGAGTCTGCTGCTCTGGAGATGACTGAGTGCTAAGGGAACCACAGCTCCCCTCATTTCCCCAGGAAACCCAGCCTGCTACTGCTTCGTTTGGTATCATGAGGAGACCTGCAGCTAGAAAACACTGAGAATGGAGCTTTTGCAACATAGTAAGTCATGATTTGACTAGGGGGTTTCCAATTGGAAAATGCCTCTCCAAGGAATATTTTAGAGAGACTCGCCTAATCTGGTGGTTTATGTCTGAGGGCATCATGGAACATCCAGTTTTTTAAGGCTAGCATGAGGCTTTACAGATGTTTCTCATTCCTCAGCTCCCACCTGTATTAAAACAGGGGTTCTCTGTTTAGAAACTTGAGCTCACAGTGAGAACATCTGCCTGGTGCCTGGCATGTGTATTCCTCTGCCTCAAATTAGCAGTGAGCAGCTCAGGCTAATAGCTGCTAATTGCTTCAAATTAAAAATAGAAGAGTGTGTGTGTATGTATACAAAAACATGCATGTATGTATATGTGCCTTGACTATCCTTAGCAATGTTTTATTATAGCTTAATGGGTGTTTGAAATGAAAATTATATACCCCACTTTTAAAAAATGTTAAATATACACTGTCCTGGGTTCAGCTTACACCACGACATACACACTGAATATTTCTGCTGCGTTGGGCAGGAGACTCTACCTTGCACACATTGTCTGTCGCTTTCCCTCTCTTTTGTATCACACTTGCAGGATTTCTGACTGTTCAGCAGCCTGTCAAAAGTGGCTGCAGAAACTGGGCATGGATTGAGTCCATGTAGTACTCGAGTAACATGTGGGTACTTCAGATTCACAGCACACACCTCTCTGAGCTGAAGGTGTGTTAAATCCACCGTGTCCAGCATATGGTTGATGGGCTATGCAGGATGTTTGCTCAGTACATATGTAGGAGTGCTGATATGTCCTGGATGTATTAGTCTTCACAAGCTATGTGATATAGCTGCCTATTATGGGATGCATCGGATTGACTGTGTGTGCAGTGTCCCATGCATATCACTCATTCTGGATAATCTTGGGCAGAAATACAGGAGCCAGCTCTTTTGAATTTCAAATATTAGAGATGAATAAATACATTAAATGTTAAGAATATGGTGAGGTTTAATAGTTGCATAAAGGATGGATGTGTGAGTTCTGATCCGTCTGTGCTGGAACACTTCAGAAGTAATGTCTTGGAGTAGAGAAATGAACTAGTTTCTTTTAACTTTTGTCTTGCAAGCAGTAAATTTTTAGTCTTTTAGTTGCTTTTAAGTGTGTGGAAAGATCAAAACCTTTAAGGGAAATTCATTTGCTCCTATTGCACTTATTGTGGGATGAGGTAGGTCTCTCTGAAATATCCTTTTCTTATTAATATTAGAAGCAACCTTAATATAGCTCAGAGAAGACCCCTAACTTTATGACAGCTAAAATGGGGGAAGATGAATCCCAGCTATTGATATCAACGTTTTAGATTCTCTGCATAATTACTTACCAGTGAATATCCATTCTAATCAAGTTGATGAACAGGCCTGTGGTGTAAGAATCTTGGGAAGCATTAACCTGTGTAACTGTGCACTCAAAGCAAATGTGATACTACGGTGCATAATGGGTAGGGTAAAGAAGAATACAGAAGATGTCCTATTATAAATCAGTGGTTTCTTATCATGTGGAATGCTGTTGTGCAGCACTTCTGAAAGTATCTTGCAGAACTGCAGTGCAAAGAAAGAAAATTAGAATGATCCTATGCTTGAAAAGAACTTGCCCATGAAGAGGTTTGAAAAGACAGGAACCAGTTACCAGGCAAAGGAGATAAATAACAGCACATGATGAAAAATGTAAAAGGTAATGAAGAAGGAAGGAAGGAATAGCTACTAAGAAAGAGTAGGAAGAATTCTTATGAACAAAACAGTAGGTGATCACTCTGAATTTATTGACTGACTTTCTATTTGATTGATCAATAATTATTTAAGGATGCCTATCATATCACTAAGATTGCATAATTCTGCAATGTCAGGAGAAAATCCTACCCTCTGTTGTGCAAATAAGTTTTCTTTCAGCTCACAGGATTGCCCTGATGTAGCCAGGAGCCAGTATCATCGTCATCTTTCATGGTTAATACTTAAAATTTATACAGCTTACAAAGCAGGTCATTTATTTGTGAGAAAACCTTGGAATATGTCTGAATTTATTTATTGTACCAAAAGGAGCTAACTTGATGAGCAACTTTGCCACTAAGGTCAGTGTCAGTTGTGTTCAATTATATAGCTGTGCAGTAGTGGAGCCCATACTTTCTCTACAGCTGTAATGTGTCATTCTTTATAGCTGTACCACACCTTTCCTTATTGGTGCCTTTGAGTACATGCTACTGAGATAGTAGCACTTTCTAAGCTTAGGTGCAGAGATAACCTGCAACTGCCTATAAGATTTGACATCCTGACAATTACCTGAACTGCTATGGTATTCTTATGTGCAGAGTCTACATTATAAGACCCAGGGGTCAGGGATAGTCTTTTGTTTTATGGATGAATCTAGTGTATTGATATTTTGAAAAATTGCTATGGTAAAAATGAATCACAGGGGGAATTCTGAGGAAAGTATTTCCCAAGCAAGTCTTATATCAGGGTTTCTAATGGAATTACTCAGGTTCCTGAAAAGAATCTAAAATGCAGTAGGCTGTAATGAAAATGGAGATTATCTTTTCAGGGAATTCTGTTTTGAGTGAGAAAGCATTGTTTGGAGAAAAAATTGTTATTTCACTATAAGTAAACGAATTACATCAATGCTACTTAGTTCTTTAAAGAGAAGAGCTGGAATGATCTGTGTATGTTTCCTTGCCAACGGATGAAAAGATTCCACTGAAAATGCATGAAAGCAAGAGCAAATGTCATCGCTTATTGCAGGGGGTGAGGAAAGTCTGGTCCAAAAAAGTCTCAGTACAGTGTTGCTTATTTGTGGTGGTGTGAGAACGCCTAAGGGGTATGAATATGACAGTGTATTCACTGGAAATCAGCTTTGCTCTGGGACAGCAGTTTCTGAAGAAAGCAACATTTCTGTGGACAGACCTTCAGCTGCCATAGGGACCTAATTGCTATTGGAAGTAGCTGTTCCAGTTATCCAAAGGTTACGTGCAAGCTGTCTCAGGTGCAACAGCTCAGTGGTTCTGCTGGATTGCTGGAGTTGCATGCTGGACAAGCCTGGCCACTAGCAGGGACCAATGACATTGCTAGAGCACTGGTGCAGACTCGTGCAAGGAATGTATTTTCACACAGAACCCTAGGTATCAGGAAAGGGACAATAATAATGATTAAACTCTTCAGAATGTTTGGCATGAAGACTGCTGATAGTACTGCTGTTATAGCACTGGTGGCCTAAGGATATAAGGGAGTCAGTTTACCGGGAGAGGTAGTATTTTTTGTGTGATTGGAATTGATGGAGTTGGAAAAGGGACAGATAAGCTTTTAGGCATACTCACGAGATCCTAAGGGACTTGAGGAAGGATTTGGTCTAAGAAAATTATCTTTTCTTCTCTTTTCTCCAGCTACAGATGTAGGTCTCATAAGATATGTTTCCTCCCACTATTAATCTTGCTGTGATTTCCTTGTGTAAACCCTTCAGTGTGTGGCTTTCCTCCCAGAGGTCATATCAGTCTTGCTCAGCATCCAGTTAACACTGTCCCTGTTCCTTCTTTAAGCTTCTGTCTCTGTCAGTGCTTGGAGACCCTCAAGGTAACTTTGGCCTTTTTGATTTGAACTGGCTGTAAGTCAATGCAGGGATGTGTGAATGGGTGATCAATACCTATCTCGATTGTTTTTTATGTCTTTGTTGTTCTCTGCTATCCCAAGAGTGCAGCTGAACTCAGTCTGAAAAGTAGCTCAGACTTTCAGCACTGTCCGTGGGGGTGACCAAGC